CCGGCCGAGCTATCCAGAGAAGCTCGCACGAGTCTGAGTCTCATGCGCACCAATCGTGCACGGCGCTCGTGCAGCTGGACTCGTGCCCGTTCGGCTTCTGGTACTCTGCCCTGGCTGGCTGCTGGGCCAGCTAATTCATCAACAACTGCGTTGTGGAGGATGAGCTGCGGGATTCCCTCGCCTCTGGCCATTTGAGCGGTCGGGAGGTGAGAGTGAGTGAACAGCACAACGATGTGATCCAGCTGGCGCTGACTGACGAGCTCAACTATGGCGGCCCAGTGGTCCGCATCCTGGCGTCGGGGCGCTTTGAATCTATGTTCCTGCCAGCCGGCTGCGACATCTTCAAAGTCGGTGACGAACGTGAGAAAGTCAGCATTCGCCCAGATAGCAAGGTAGAGACATGTCAGTTCGACGCGGGCGAAAAGCTGTCGCTTGCTACACGAAGGGCCGTAACTATTTGCACGAGGCACAATGGTTGGTAGGACTGTTTTTAAACATGTGACTGCATGCCCGACGCGGCGTAGCTTGGGGCACCTACTATCGGGACCCCCGCTGGCGTCGCCGGAAATGAGCACCGTTCGTGCTGTCAGCTTGGGCTAAACATCCCAGCCTCCAGCACAGTGCCTGTATATTGTCACTGGTCGCAATCAGGCGGTGGGCTGACTGCTGTCTACGGGGCTGGCAACAATCCTCGCAACCAAAACGCTGCGGTCGTGTTGAACTGCGTGACCGCCTGGGTGCAAAGGTCCTCCGAGTCCGTGTACGGGCCGGCCGTGACGTTGCAGTCACACTGACAATACCTGTACAACGGGGTCTCTGAGAGGCGGCCGCATCAATTGCAAAGCTCGCCGCCCTGGAAACTTTTCGACTGATCATTCTTCACGACCCGCCCAGGGGATGCAGACTGACCACGCACATAAAGGTCAAAAGGCCTTGGCTGGGACTGGGCGGGGGGGCGAAGTTCTGGCTTCCTGCAGGAGGGGGAGCAGGAGACGAACAAACATGAGGTGGCAAGAGCAGGCTGGTCGAATGCGAAGAGGGAGGAATGGAAGGGATTATGATGGTGCTTCTGATGATGATACTGGTGATGCTGATTATGATGATGTCGATGATGCTGCTGATGATGATGGCGATGATGATGACGATGATGATGACGATGATGAGGATGATGATGATGATGGGGATCATGATTATGATGATGATGCTGATGGGGATGAGGATGAGGAAGATGTGGGGGACGAGGATGAGGATGATGCTGATCAAGCTGATGAAGCTGGTGGCTTTGACGTTGGTGGGGTGGTTGTGACGATAATGGTGATGCTGCTGTTGATGGTGATGCTGATGATGAAGATCATGATCATCATGATGATGCTGATGCTGATGCTGATGCTGATGATGATTGTGAATCTGAAAATGATGATGCCGACGATGATGATGATTATCATGATGACGATGCTGATGCTGATGATGATGCTGATGCTGATGCTGATGCTGATGATGATGGTGCTACTGATGATGATGGTGATGATGATTGCGACAATGATGAAGCTGATGTTGGTGTTTGATGATGACGAGGAGGAGGAGGTGAACAGCAGGAGGAACAGGCGGAGGGATGAGGAGGGGGAAGTATAGCTGTATGGGGAGGAAGAGGATGATGAGGGGTAGGCATATGCAATCAGACGGAGATAGGCCGCAGGAGTATGTCCAGGTGCCTCTTGAGAGTTGGATCTCGGTTGTTCTTTGGTGCGGCCGATGATGTTGATGATGATGCTGAGGATGATAATGATGATGATGAAGATGACGACGACGATGATGATGATGATGATGATGATGATGATGATGATGATGCTGGTGATGATGATGTTGTTGATGATGATGCAACTGATGCTGCTGATGATGGTAATACGGCGCATGATGACAGTGGTGTTGATGCTGCTTATGATGGTGCTGATGATGATGACGGTGATGATGGTTTTGAGTATAATGATGATTAATACGATGATGATGCTGGTGCTGATGCTGATGATGATGATGATGATGATGATGATGATGATGATGCTGGTGATGATGATGATGCTGTTGATGATGATGCAACTGATGCTGCTGATGATGGTAATACGGCGCATGATGACAGTGGTGTTGATGCTGCTTATGATGGTGCTGATGATGATGACGGTGATGATGGTTTTGAGTATAATGATGATTAATACGATGATGATGCTGGTGCTGATGCTGCTTATGATGGTGCTGATGATGATGACGGTGATGATGGTTTTGAGTATAATGATGATTAATACGATGATGATGCTGGTGCTGATGCTGATGATGATGATGATGATGATGATGATGATGATGATGATGATGATGGCGACGATGCTGATGCTGATGATGCTGCTGATGATGATGACGAGAAGGAGGAGGAGGAGGCGAGCATCAGGAGGAAAAGGCGGAAGGAGATGGCGTTGAGACTGTAGGAGTATGGGGAGGAAGAGAGTAATGAGGGGTAGGCATAAAAGGAGGAGCATCAGCCGCAGAAGCATGTCAAGGTGTCTCTACAGGGTTCCCAATGTATCTCGCGCATTCTTTGATGTTATATGGCGTTGATGGGGTCTGTAAAGTTCCAATGGGCTTAGCGGTGAAGGCGATGAGTACATTGACGATGCGGCCGAATTCGATGCTGGTGATGATGGTGATGATGATGAGGATGTTGGCAATGATGATGATGATGATGATGATGATGATGAAGAAGGTGGTGATACTGATGATGATGCTGATGATGCTGATGATGCTGGTGGTGGTGATGGTGCTGATGTGTATGACGATGACGGTGATCATGGTAACCACGATATTGACAATACTCATGAAAATGATGATGATCATGATGCTGCTGCTGATGATGATGTCGATGGTGCGGATTCCGCGAATGATGGTGATGATGTTGTTGTTGCTGCTGGTGGCGATGATGACAATGTTGATGCTGATGATGATGATGATGATGATGATGATGATGATGATGATGATGATGCTGACGAAGCTGGTGATGCTAATGGTGATGACGACGATGACGCGGATGCTACACATGATGATGAGGACGGTGTTGCAGACGATGGTGATTGTGTCGACGGTGATGATGTTGTTGTTCGTGATGGTGATGACGATAATGATGATGATGCTGATGATGATGACGATGCTGCTGCTAATGATGATGATGACGATGCTGACGGTGATGACGATGATGATTACGTTGATGGTGTTGACGGTGATGCGGCTGATGATGAGGACGAGGAATATGAATCCAATGTTGATGATGCTACTGATGCTGATGATGATTGAGGATGCTAATGGTGGCCATGATCCTGATGAGACTTTCAATGGTGGTTCTGTTCATGAAGATGGCGATGCTGATAATGACGATGGTTATGATGATGATGACGATGTTGACGCTTATGATGCTGACGCTGATGCTGATGCTGATGCTGACGATGATGATGATGCTGATGATGCTGATGATGATGATGCTGATGCTGACGATGGCGATGATGATGATGATGATGATGATGATGATGATGATGATGATGATGCTGATGATGATGATGATGCTGATGCTGATGATGATGATGATGATGATGATGATGATGATGATGATGATGATGATGATGATGATGATGATGATGATGATGATGATGATTGCGAAGGCCTTACGGCCGGTGCCGCCGACCCTGGAGGGCGACCCATGCGTTCCCTAATGTGGCGGGGGGGGCCTCTTGGGGGTATCTTTGGGTCTCGTGTGGGGGGGGGTCGTATTGGGGCTCGTCGGGCCCCTCGTCTGGGCACCCTGTTGGAGCCGTTTGGGGAGCCTCTGGGGCCATCTTGGAGGCATCTTGGGCGGTCTTGAGGCTCTCTTGGGTCATTTTGGGGCTCCCTTGAGGCCTCTTGGGCTATCTTGGGGTAATCTTGGGGGCATCTGGGGCCGTCTTGGAGCGTCGGCAAGTTGAAACGGCGAGAACGCCAAAATCTGTCAAAAACTTTAAGGAAATCATTGATTTTTCCCTCTTCGTGCCCTCTTGGGAGTGCTCTTGGAGACTTCTTGGAGCGTCTTGGCAATCTCTTGGGCCGTCTGGAGGCTACTTTGGCGTCTTCGACCGATGGTTCGGCGATTCGGGGCCCTCTGGAGCCGTCTTGGAAGCCTCTTGGGGCACTCTTGGCCAGTCTGGGGGCTTTTCTAGGTCCCGGGACATCCCGGGGGGGATGCGTATCTGCTCCCCCCCCCCCCCCCGGGACCCCCCCCGGGAACCCCCCCCCGGCGGGGAAGGGATCAAAGGGAAGGGGCTTCCTTTCGACTCAGCTACGACGTTGCTCAATTTCGTTTTGCCTTCGACTCAGCTACGACGTTGCTCGATTTCGCTTTGGTTTCGCTTTGGCTGGCCCGCCTGAGGGGAGGGCGACGACGACGACGACGACGACGATGACGAACGGAAGAGCATCGACGACGACGACGACGACGACGGCGACGACGACGACGACGGCGGCGACGACGACGACGACGCCGACGACGACGACGACGTTCACGACGAACGGAAAAGCATCTTCCACACGCCGACAGGGTCGGCGGATTATAATGATGACGCTGATGATGATGATGATGATGATGATGATGATGATGATGATGATGATGATGATGATGATGATGATGATGATGATGATGATGATGATGCTAAATCGGCTGATTACCGTAGTGGCGGGTGTTTGCGGTGATGATGGTGGTGGTGGTGATGTTGATGATGACGATGACAAGGAGGAGGAGGAGGAGGAGGAGGAGGAGGAGGAGGAGGAGGATGAGCATGAGAAGGGGGATGCGCAGGAGCTGCTACAGGCCACGCTGATGGGAGGCTCGTTGACATTGGCTGATGCAGCAGCGTGCAGTGCAGGGTGGCTGATAGACGTGCCGTGAGGGGATCGAGGGAGAACGGCGATAGCGCGCGGCCGCGTCGCCGTGGAAGGACCGTGCCGACCGATCGGTGCCGCGTGGGCCTTGCTCCAGGTACTGCGATGAGTCGGCGGGGGTACCAGAGCGCACGCTAGACAGCACTTGCGAACAACTCCTGCCCCCCTCCCCCTGCTCCGTCACGTCCTTCTGCCTCGTGCCTCCCGCCTTCTGTCCCCCTCCTGCTCCCTTCTCCACCTCCGCCTCCCCCTCGCCCCCCCTTCTCTTGCTGTACCTCCCTTCTGCCCCTCCCCTCTCTTCTCCCCCCTCGCTCCCCTTGCCCGATTGCGCAGAACACGATGGAGTCTTTCTGGGAGTTCAAGTTCCGCTACGACACGCGTGGGTGGGAGGGGTAGGGAGGGGTAACGCAGTGAGAAGGGATGGGTGGGAGGGGTCGGATGTCAGACATGGCGCGAGCACACCTAGCTTGCCCTCCATCCCCCCCTCCTCTCCCTCCATCCCTCCCTGCCGCCCTCCCTGCTCCAGGTCTTTGACGTCTTGGGCGCTCTCGAGCCTGTGGAGGCCTCCAGGCGCCTCGGGGCACCCATGGGGACCTCGGAGGAGCACAGCGGGTTCAGCACTGGGCACGGCAGGGCCTCGCGCCCACCCCGCTCCAGCCCTTCCGCGCAGCGCCTCCCGCCTGCACGGCCACCCCCGCCGCCCGCTGCAGCGGCCGCGCCCCGCGGGGCGCCCGCGCGCCGTGCCGCCGCCGCGCCGCCGCCGCGCCCGCGCGCGGCGATGCGCCCGGCGGCCGCGGCGACGCGCCAGGCGCCGGCGGCCGGCGCGTGCGCAACCGGCCGCCAGCGCGGCGCAGCGGCCGCTGTGGCGCGGCGGCGGCCGTGGCGCGGCGGCGCGCCGCTGGAGAGCTCGGTGGGCGGCGGGCGCCGTGCCTCAGCTGGGAGCGGCCCAGAGGGGGGTGATGAGTGGGGGGAGGGTGATTGTGATGGCCAGAGCCATGATGCCTCTCCAGGTTTGGTGGCGCCTCTGCTCATTTCAATGCGTCCCTTGGCCCCCCCTCTGGGGCCGCGCACATGCCTCGGGCCAGGATTTGTGAAACCTCCTCTTGGACGCCCCCCTCGTGGACGCCCCCGATTTGGAGGAGGACAGGGCACCGATATCGCTGCTCGTCCCGGAGAGCCCTTGTCGCCAGGGCTGGGTTCTCCTCGAAGTTCTCGTCAGAGCGCGCCCCGGGAGAGGTCTGGGGGGTAGTGGCGCGCCGCTGGAGAGCTCGGTGGGCGGCGGTGGGGGCTCGGAGAGGCAGCAGGCCTCGGGGAGCTCGTGAGACATCACGTGGCAGTGGAATGATAGACGCACCTCGAAGAACAAACATCGGCTCAAACATCATTTCTCGGAGCTCCGCGCGGGTTTCTTGGATGCCAGGTTGGGGGGTCCAGCGCCGATCCAAGAAGTCGGCGCGGACTTCCGATCAACTCATTCTGTGTATGTTTAAGTGTTCATCCAGCACCATTTCCTGGACATCCTTCAGCTCCTGGGGACGTGCGTGCGAGCATGCTGGTCTTATCGTGCGTACGAGTATGCTGGACCCGCTGGTGTTGTCGTGCGTACGAGTGTGATGTACCTCCAAGGGGGAGCCTGGCGGCTACCCGTTTAGATTTGCGGACCTTCCTCCCACCTACCTCCCGCCTCCCGACTCCTTCTTTTTGCCAGCCTTCCTATGCTGAGTATTGCGAAGGCCTTACGGCCGATGCCGCCGACCCTGTGGCAGCGACGACGAAGACAATGGAGGTAGAGGAGTCCAAGATGCCCTCAGATGGCTCGAAGACGGCGCCAGATGCCTGCAAGGTCGTCCGAAGACAGCTCAAGAGGCCTCCTCCAGGGTTCGGGAACGGCTCCAGAGAGTGCCAAGAGGAAAAGAGCACCCTTAAGTGGCCCGAGAGGGTTCCAAGACGGCGTCAAGCGAGGTCCAAAAGCGCCCGCAGAGGCTGTCCAGAGTGCCGCCAGAGGCTGCCAAGAGAGTCTAAAAATGGCGAAAGGTCTCCAAGGAGTCTTACGATAAGCTGAAAGGGCCCGCAGACGGCCCCGGAGGGCCAACGGAGCCCCAGGACGCAGGAGGATTAGAGGCGGGGGGCTGCGTTTCCGAGGGGGGATCCCCCCTGGGAGTCGCCCGGGGACCCCCCCCCCTCCCAGCGGGGAAGGGGCTTCCCTTCGACTGAAGGACGACGTTGTTTAATTTGTGTGTGGACTTTTGTAGGCAGCCCTCGGAAAGCAGAAGAGGCGACGACGCTGTGGGGAAGACGGAAAGGCCTCTCCCACACGCCGAGTACTTGCTTTGGACATAGCACTGCTGCTCCTTACTCCTCCGCCTCCTCCTGCTTCTTTCTCCTTGGTCACGCCTCGTCCCATCCTCCTTGCGACTCCTCCGCCTCCTGCCGCCTCCCCATGTCCTCTCTCTTTTTTCATCCCTTCTCTCCTCACTGTTCGCGTCTCGTCTCCGTGGATGCTTCCAGCTGTGCAAGTATCTGTATTATTGTGAGCTCCTAATTAGGTGGTCCAGCGGAGTGGGACCCTAACTACGCAGATCCAAATGTGTCCTCGGCCCCCTGGGTGTCGCCAACAACTGTCTGCACTTTCTCGCCTTCCTGGGTGCTCTCTGCATTTTCGTGAGCTCGTGAGGGCTCCAGCGGAGTGCGGTCCTACGCAGATCCAAGTGAGATCTCGCTTCCCTTCGTGCCGCCAACTATACAGCTATCGCCTGCCCGTCTGGTGAGCTCCTGGGGGGTCCAGCGGTTGCAGCCCAGGTGGCAGGAGCACGTTCCCTTCACTTTGGCCCAGAGGTCCTCCTCCGAATCCGCAGGAGCACAGATGCGGATCGGCAGGGGCAACCAGACGGCGCAGCCCGTGAGGAGGCACAACCTCGTGATCCGCGACGGGTCTCGACTTCACCCCGAGGCCCGCCCGCGGACCGGGCAACGCGCCTTCGAAGTGCCAGCAGCCCGCGCGGGCAAGCGCAGGACCGGGCACCTCTTTTGCGCGCCAGCTCGGCCTCGCCAGTTTCTTGCGTGAATGAGCGGGAGAGCTGGCATCGCATCCACCAACGCCTCTCCTCGGCGTGGCGCCACCAAGCACTTAAGACTCCCTTCCCCCCGAAAGCCTTTGGAGGCCTCTGGTAGCCCAGACGGGCCCCACACGTCCAAAGGCTTCGATCTTCGGCCTTCGATTCTCGATCCTCCTCCTCCTCCTCCTCCTCCTCCTTCTCCTCCTAGGCCCGAACGCGGCGCCCCCCCCATCCAAATTCCCGTCGGGGTCCGCTACTCACGTGGCGACGAGGCGGGGCGCTTGCCCTTTGAGGACAGCATGCGTTCTATATACTGTACCAGCGTTCGGAGCCAGCGCCTTGGCCACTGAGTGTGGCTGACCGCGCCTGCCGAGAATTTCTGGACATAGGCGGAAGAAGGTGAACCCCGCGTGGCATCGGCGACAACGGGAGGCACGAGCTCAGGCCCGTGTCATAGCTAGATTGTCTAAGTACACTGTCATCAAAGCAAGACGGCTATTCAATCGTCATCATTATATGTCCTCCAAGTCGTGGTTTTGTGCTTCTTGTGCCACGTTGATCTTCTTGGAGAGACACACTTGCAGGAATTTTGGCACTGCGAGGACAGGGTACGGTTCGGCTCAGATTGCAGATTCATTCGAGAGACAGCCGTGGGTCAAGAACAGTCAGACGTACTCAGTCCAACAGCCCGCGTGGAAGAGACAAAACTCGTCAGGGAAAAGCTTCAGGTCAGAGTCCCGCCACACAGACTGGGAAACGACAGCAACGTACGAGGTCTCCGTCATTTCCGTTCGCAGACGAAGATGGTTCCAGGGACGAGAATCAGAGGCCCTTGAGTATCATACCTGCTCTTCCCTCGGAGGCGCGACTGCATCAACATTTCCCAGGAGAGTTAGACCCAACTGCGTCGGCCAGAGAGCGTAGTAGTTCATCACAGAGTGCAGGCGGCAGTTGAGAGTTCTGGCTGGCCCCATCAGGCTCAAAAAGAGATCGGGAGACATGGACCACGAGGAGCGCTCATGGTACTCTGTTGTATTGACTGCCATCCACCTATGTCGTCCTCACGAAGATCAGTTGTCCAGACAGGAATCGGTTCTTCAAAGATCGGAGGTGGGGCTTCAGGACATAGCCAGCAATATCGAACAGGCAAAACAGTATCTCAGCGAGCTGCAGGACAAACGAGATCTTGCAGCCGAGCGGGTGCAAAGGCACCACGAAGCTATGATCGAGGTGAGGTCGACAGTTTCGGACATGGACGCATAGGTGACGGGTGCAGCTACTCCACCAGGAGAGGCGGCGCCGGCTACTCCCACTGCGCCATTGCTTGCTGGACCCCAGCACACTGCGCTTCAGCAGCAGCAGCAGCATCAACAGCAACACTTGTCGGACATGGCCATCATGCAAAGACATTTGGCACATATTGCTACTTCACTCACAGTGTACCAGTCACATATCGATGCGATGGAGTTCAAGTTACCACAGTCAACAACAAACACGAAACTTTGATGTCGGCATTGCGAGGGGGTGCGTCTCACGTGGAGGCAGCGGAGAGAGCGAGAGCTACGGAGGATGCCGCTGCTCCCTTTCTGCTACCAGCTGCGCAACCTCATGCTGCACGACAGCATCCTGTGGCTACGCCCAAGAGAGGTGGAGCTCACAGCAACGATCCAGATCACCAGTCTCGACGGCGCCCGACCAGAAGCCCTTCACCAGGCCGACGGGGACCAGCTCATGTTGGGTCTACGGAGGCTGTTGAGACTACGGTCGAGGCAGCAGCGGCCTCTCCAGCAGGTGTCGGCGACGTAGACGACGCTGTCCTGAGGGAGGGCTACGAGCCGCCGGGGTAGTATCAGACAGGGACATGATCGGTCACGACACCTCCGATCATGATCCCCACCAGAAGTTTCAAGCGGTCAAGTTTACTTATGTAGATAATCCATGCGTTGTTTTTTTCGCTACTCCGTCCATGGGAGGAGGTGCTCAATGCTGATTGGCGAAAACATGATAGGTTTCTTCTGGATTGCACGTCGCATTCCTGTCATTTTTTATCAGACTGGGACGGGGATGTCTCCGATATTTTACGTTTCGAAATGTTT